TGCCATTCGGCTTTTTAACAAGCACCACATTTGCAACCCAATCTGGGAAGTAACATTGCCGAATGAACCATGCATCAAGTAATTTTTTAACTTCGGCGGCTGCCGCCTGACTTCTTTCTTCGCCATGGTTCCGCTTCTTCTGCCGTACCGGTTTCTTTTTCGGATCCACGGCCAGTTTATGTACCGCCAGATCAGGACTAATGCCTGGCATTTCATGGACTTCGAATGTAAAGATGTCCTTGTATTCTTTCAATAGTTTGTGAAAGTCGTCACCCAGGTCCCTTAGAGCAGTCGTCCCAACCTTGATTGTTCTGTAGGACGCGAGTCATCTAACATCAAATCCGTATGCTCACCAGCTGGCTGAGGGCGGAATTCATCCGACCGCTCCTCTGCTAATGATTGCTATTTTCTGTCTTTTCTTGCGGCCCCTGTCTGGGATGCATTTCTCTTCTTGCCGCCTGCTTTTTGAATAGGCGCACTCTCCTTAACATTGTCAAGGTCTATTTTTCCACCACTTGACCCAGTGGCCATTACAGTGGGCTTGACATCCGAGAGATAGCACTCTCGGGCCATCCTCTGATCTCCCCTTAGGGACCCGACTGTTCCATTATCCCTCTCAAACTTGAGCAACATAAGAGATGGGATTATAACAACCTTGGAATTATTCAGGGTTGGTCGTCCCAGAATCATGTTGTAGGCCGAGAGTTCTTCTATTACCAGGAACCGGAATACCATGTGTCGTCCTTCCCCTTTTTCGCCCAGGCGGATGGGTAAATCCACTCGTCCCACTGGATGGACTCCTCCTCCTCCAAACCCTACTAAAGGGTGGGATGCCGGATGTATGCAATCAGTCTGATATTTTAGTTTCGACAGACATTTGCTACTGATGAGATCTGAGGAGCTTCCGGAATCTATGAGGATTCGGCCAACTCTCTGGTTGGCCACTTTACATTCAATAACGATAGGGTCGTCATGCGGCCCTCTTACCCCTCCTAGATCTTCTTCAGTGATGACAATCTCAGGAAATGAATATTTGGAGGGCCGTTCTTGGTATTGATTAGGGGATTTTTCCCCACCAATCACCATCTGACAAGTGGACCAATCAGGTTCCGCCATGTGCCCGTCACATGGGCCAATAGGAGCCTGCCACGTGTCAAGCAATGATCCGTCCACTATGGACCAATTACGACACGACACGTGTCCTTCCCATGACACCTGTGATAACCGGTCACCAAGGCCCAACTTCCGAGGGAAGCCCAATCAGCCCAAGGTTAACCTAAACCTAGATTGGCACGTTTCCCGAGGTTATAAATACCTCCCTTAATCCTCATTAAGGGAGGGAGAACGCAGATTACACACATTAAACTCTCTCACCTAGAGAGACCCAATCACTTTAATTTCCGCATTAATTACTCCTTAATCAAGTACTAACTTGACCGTCGGAGGCGGATCTCCAATCATCCGGAGCATCCGTTTGTTTTGCAGGTACAGGCGTCCGGTTCCAGTCTCGGAATTGTAACTCTCCCGCAGGACATCAGAAAACCCCGAAACAGGTATGATTAGGGGATTGGGATGAAAGTGGTTTTTTTTTTTTGTTTTTTTTTTCATAGTATTAATTCAGAGTATATATCTTCTAGAGTAGTTTGAAGCCACATCTTATACAAGTTTAGCAAATAATTTTTAAGGTTGGATATATATATTTTTCAATATGATATGAGTTCCGTGCCTTTCTGTGTGGTGTTTTTGCTTTTTAATCTACTGAATGTTTTTATTTTTCTATAGTTGTATAGAAAGGCGTAGTTGGGTTCTGGATTAAGTGATTTATTGTATTGTGGTCCTTGAGAAAGACTTCTAGTTGCCTGCTTTTTTTTTTTCTTTTTTTTTTTGTAATTAAAAAAATATATTTTAAAATAGGAAAACAGGAGGAGGACAAGTGTCCTCCAACATCCTGTTTTAAAATAATAGTATTGATTGGTAATTTAAGGTAGAAATTTTATAATTAAACAATATCAAAAAGACTGTAAAATTAGGTGGCTTTCTATTAAAAGGTTATGTGGTGGGAACGTGGTTAGGACTTAGGACTCTTAACAATGATGGTGTCAAGTGAGTAGGGAAATAGAAGGGTGGAATATATCAATGGCAAAATCATACTTAGGCCTTATTTGGCATCGTTTTTTGTTTTCGGTTTTCATTTTTTTTTTTAATGAAAAACAAAAATAGGAAATAAGAAATAAGAAAAAGATGTTTTCACTTTTCTATTGTCAGTTTTCAAAATTATCATGATTTTAATAAGTTTGATTAATTTTTAATTCATATGACATATATCATATGATTTTTTTCTTAAAAAAGAAAAAAAACAGAAAATTACAACAATATCAAACAAACCCTAATAATGTAGTTGTGACTACTCATATTTACCTGCCATAAATTCAAACATCATAACATGTGTGTGGAAAATGTGAGAATTAAAAGACTAATACTAAAGCTATTCTGTATAAACGTGTCAAATCTTTAATTTTTTGAAAAAGTAGCTGAGACTCCATCTTAGTTTTGGGTTTACGCACTCCCTCTGTCTTGGGGTCCAAATTGTTATTTTCGTTTAAAAGTACAAATGTTAAAAAGTTAATACTCCCTCCGTATTTAGATAAATGAAACATTTTGACTTTTACGGAGTTTTAGGAAGGTTAGTTGAATTTATTAAAATACTCTGTAATAGGTAGTGGGGTATAAGTTGAAGAGAGAGAATACAGTAAATGATTTTGTGAGGACCATTAGTTAGTCGAATGTTATTAAAAGATAGAGATAATATTATCAAAAAAAAAAGAGAAGTTACTAAAAAATAAAGCATTTTATTTATTTAAACACGATCGAAAAAGGAAAACGGTTTACTTATTTAAATACGGAAGGAGTATAAATTAGTGTGCAAGACGCGGTAACATAATCTCAAAGGACTATATCGCGTTCTGTCGAATTTTTTAATGGTAAAATCTTATTATAAAGTTTGGCTCAAAAATCAATGAGCAATCATATTCTTAATAACTGTCATAGTATTATTAATTCTTTTGGTTGTAATTTTCGTATTTTGTTTTTCTTTATGGAGGGGAATAAGGTAGCTGATAAGCTAGCTAATATGGGGGTTCTTCTTGAAGAGAAGGTGGTTTATTTCGATGATCCTCCAATCGAAATAAAACTCCTCTCTAGGAGGATGTCGTAGGAGTAACTTTACCTCGTTTTGTTAATTAGTTTATTTCTTGCTTTCGGGCTTGGCCCTCTTTTGCATTAAAATAAATAAATAAAGCAACAAAGGAGTAGCTCACTAGAAGCCATGCTCCGCCTATAGGCTATAACCACCGGATTGCCTCCACGAGTCCATGGTCCAACTTGATCCAAAATTTGCGTGGGCTATGTAGTTTCGTTTTCTTTTTGATAAGTAGCCCAATACCTCACATATTTATAGCATCCAAAAAATTGTTCGAGACCACATAAAAAAAAAAGGTCAAGAAAAATTAATCACATCATCATTTTATTTTTTTTTGTTTGGTAAAGGAGAAGGGGCTTATCGAGTCGGAACTTTAGGGGGGGTGGGGGGAGAGGAAGAGTATGAGAATTCTCATCTCAAAGTGCGTGGGGTTTGATCTCATAACCTCTAAGTTGTGAGATGCAAACTTTCCCACTAAACCAATCTTTGCTTGGTATTTTAAAAATGACAACTACTTTGTTTTCCTTATTTAGTAGACATAATTTTTATATGTACAAAACTGTCCTTAATAATTTGATTTTTTATTTTATTAAGCCGCCTGTATTTAATTAACACACTTAATTTTCTTTTAATGGCATAAACCTGCTCCTCCCCCTCCCCCTCCCCCTCCTCCTCCTCCTCCTCCTCCTCCTCCTATTATTATTATTTCTCCCACCAAACTTTGTACGAGTACTTATTACCTAGTAATTCAACAATACAATATTTTTCTTTTAAAAAAAAACAATATTCAATTTAAATTTGTATAATACATTACGTTGGTTTATGTTGATCGACGAAATAAGGAAGAAGGGAGTAATTTAATATCCTTCTTATATCAATGCACAAATTTAACCATTACTATTTGAACTTACAAGTATGTAATATTAACAAATACTCGTTATAACAACTTAATTTTTTTTTTCTTTTAAACCACCTAATATTAATATATATATTAGATATATATATATATATATATATATATATATATATATATATATATATACATAATGATGTTTTCAAAAAATAAAAAAATAAAAATGAAAATATACTTTTAAGACTAGTTTTAAGAACATTTTACATGATAATATTTGTTACTCCCTCTGTTTTATAATAGTTAACACACTTGTCATGTATTAGTTTGCCTATAAATTAAAATAATTAATCATAAGTAAAAAACTAGCAAACTTGTCCCGTTGGGATTAAGGAGATTGTAGCTCCGGATTTTTGCTTGTCTATTAATAAAAATTAGCCTGCTATTTTGCTCAAAAAAATAAAATTGTCCTATATAAAAATGTTGGCATTATGAAACTTTATATAGATATCTATACAACAACATTTTACATGATAAATTTAATCATAATAAAACCTATAGTCAAAGTTAATACATCAAAAGTGAAAAAAGTCCAATTACTATAGAACGGATGGATTTATGTACGAGTATTTTATAGTACATTGGTAGAAATATATACAAGTAGGAAAATAAAAAAAAAAGAAAAAAGAAAAAAGAAAAGAAAAAGAAAAAATAAAATATTACATTCAATTTTATTTAAGTAACCTAACTTAATTGAGTAAATATATCCATGTAAAATTTTGTATAAGGAATACTTCTAATATTTTTTATTTTTAATGGAGAAAGTATAAAGTAATACAAGTTAATAAGGCTGATATACAAAATTTGTACAATATAATGATATATCCAAGTATCCAACCAAATAGCGGTTCGGTTCAATTTTTCCTTTAAATTGAAGACTGATATACTCCTATTTATAAAACAGGGTATCAAAAATCTAAGATCAAATCCGTCTTTCAGTTGTCTGTTTCTGAACCAGTGAACCACCACTCTCTTCCCCAAACTCCCAACTCCCAATTATCAGCTAACCTTCTTATTCAAAAGAATGGAGGTAGGGTTTTTGGGTCTGGGTATAATGGGCAAAGCCATGGCCATGAATTTGCTGCGCAATGGCTTCAAGGTTACTGTTTGGAATAGGACTCTTTCCAAGGTAATACGCTGAAAATTTATTCTTAATTTCAATTACTTTTTTATTGATATGAATTTGATGTTTTTGGAGTTACTGCTAATTTATCAGAGTTGATGGTTTTATGGTCTTATTTTCATCATTTATGTATCTGTTTAAATTATGAGAACATTTGTTAATATTCAAAAATCATCACTTTCATATGGGGTTATTAGCAAATGAAAAGAGAAACCCAGAAAATGGGGGGCTAGCCTGCCAGTAGGTGGCGGGCAGGCCGGTGCCAAAGTTTGATCGGAATGTTAATCATTTGAAAGAGGTTCTGAACTTGTGAGACATCAATTTTTTGTTACTATATGGTTGATGGGGAGATTACAATCTTAAGAAGTGAAAATGGACTTTATGTTGTATTGGGATTGTATTTCGAGCTTTTTAGATGTTAATTGTTGAAGTTTTGATTATGAGGAATCTGAGTACATGGTAGCTACAAATTCTTCAATGGCTTGTTTGATAGGAGGTAATTAATGGCCTCGTTATGTTTGAATCCTGTTCTTCTATCCCGCTCCTTAATTTTTTGCTCGCGCCCATAAATCGAGTATTTCTGAACAAAGCCTGTTTCCTCAACTTATCATGTGGCAATGAAATTAAGTTGCAAGAAAGTGGGTATGAGAAATGCTGACATAGATTAGCAGAATAAGATCTTAAAATGTTTAATTCAATTCAAGTGGTATAGGAAACTATAGCGGTCTTTTGTTGATACCAAAGACAAACAGTGTGGTGATGTGGTCTGTTCTTTAGATTTGTTTGTTACAAGGAATTGGAATTATATCAACCTTTTGTGCTCCTGTGAAGCACTTACTGTTTGATTTTGAAATTGATGAAGCAGGGATATCCTATTTAGTTCTCCACTATGTCTTTGGCAAAAAGTCCCCTGCCTTAGTTGTGTAGGCTCCTTAAAAGTATTGGGGCAATGTCAATGAGGATATATCTTGTGCCACGAGAAAGTTTCCTGATATTACATCAGGGTGTGGAAGAATATAATATGGATCTTAAACTAGTAATATATCTGTAGTTATTTTATTTCTGGCCATGAAAGCTGAGATATTCAATGCTTAGTGATCCGAGGTTACCAATTATATTTTTGAACGTGATTAACCTTTTCATCTCAAATTCTTGATGAGTGTATCTATATTATTAATCTTAGCTATATGTACTGTTTCATTTTACCAGTGTGATGAACTTGTGGAACACGGAGCTGCTGTTGGAGAAACACCTGCAGCTGTGGTTAAGAAGTGCAAGTATACAATTGCAATGTTGTCGGACCCCTCAGCCGCCATATCGGTTGGTAAATAGTGCTGAATGCTTTGTCAAATCATCAAGATTTATTTTCTAATCGTAGTTCATGATTCTTTAGGTTGTTTATGATAAAGATGGAGTCCTTGAGGAAATTTGCAATGGAAAAAGCTATATTGATATGTCAACTGTCGATGCTGATACATCCATAAAGATCAGTGAGGTTTGTACTGTATATTGATTTCTAGTGGAGACTTGTAGTATTTTGTTATGGTTTATGTTCGTGTGATTCTGATTGCTTCCTCCAGATTTTTAAACATTTAGCTTCCATTTTTTATGGTTTTGATGTTATTACTCAAATCTTCTATGCTTTACATTTGAACTAAGATTTCCAATGTAGGTTTGCCAATTATATTTACACTGTATTGTCTCCAGTCTAATAAGCAAATTGAATAATTCAAAACCCCGAGTTGCTTAAGACAATCATATATTGCTAGATTGTGTTGAGACATCTAGGTGACCAAATGCACAACCAGAGAATAACTGGTTATCTTGTATGGAAAAACGGTGGTAATTAGAGACAATTTTTTTTCTCGTCTTCAAATTCTGGGATTAGCCCTTTATTGGTGCTTGTCTGCATTTTTGTAGTTAGAGTTGCGAATAAATTTCCATTCCAGCAACCTCAGATGATTGATTACCAGTCTCTATTTTGGTTCATACTTCATTTTTTATACCTTTTGCTTCAGCAGACTTTCTTCTGTAAAACTTCCAAATTCTATTTGATTTGCAGGGAATTATATCCAAGGGTGGGCGATTTCTTGAAGGTCCTGTTTCCGGTAGCAAAAAACCTGCAGAGGATGGTCAATTGATTATCCTAGCCGCTGGAGAGAAGGTAAAAGATGAATGTTTGTCATACATGTAATATCTTATGACTACATCCTATCTGCATTACTCCCATACTTCAGTTCGGAGTTTTTTTTTTTTTTTTTTTTTTGTTTATTTCTTTTTATTTTTAATTCAGTTATTAAGAGTTAGTGCTCCTTAGTAAGCATCTTTAAGTTGCTTTTCTCTGTAAATTTGCTTCATAAGCCTTGGTTCTGTATCAAGATGGTTGATGTATGACGGTGGACATCTTTAAACATTCGTTGATTGCCTTTTAGTATTTTCTGTACCACAAGGATAGTCGCTTAAGACTTCTAAGTGTTATGTTGTGGAACTGTAGGGGCTATATGATGAGGCAATTCCAATTTTTGATGTGCTCGGGAAGAAGTCTTTCTTCTTGGGGCAGGTTGGAAATGGAGCTAAAATGAAGCTTGTGGTCAACATGATAATGGGCAGGTGAAGTTTTTTTTTTTTTTCGTAATCAGTGAATATTCTGTATTTGTATTTCCACTTTCTTTAAAAATTTAGCAATAGATACTAGGGTAGAGTTTTAAAGACAAGTCACCTGCAGTCCTGTAGAACAAGATAACCTGATGTCCTGTGCTTCATTCTACTTGCAATTTATATAAGTTACATCCTTATTGTGGACATGACATGACTTCATGGTTTTCTTCTGCCTTTCATAATTAACAAAACACAAAGCATGTATTGACTGCACTTCAGATCAGTTTCTATGGTTTTATACTAGCAATGTTTAGAGCTGTGTACATTTGGAGCTCTCTTGACCCATTTATTGACTTCACTTGAAAACAAATTCTCTGTTAATTTTATGTCTGTATACTAACAAGTAACAAGGGGTTAGGGCTGTTTGCATCTGGACTTCTCCAGAGACTGCATATGATGGGATCATACCTGGTTGTTGAATAAATGATATTGGCTTCAGTCTGCTGGGAATTTTGTGGGGAACAACCTCTATTTTTTTGTGGAGTTGTTAAGTAATTTTTACACTAGCCAATTACACACTGGGTGGTGGTGGCTGTTTTGCTTTTGCCTTAACAAAGAAAAGCCGTGAAGGTTAATTCATTTTGTGTCAGTTATTATCTATGTTTGAAAAGCCATTGAAGATTATTCATTTTGTGTCAATGATTATTAAGATGGGGAGGACTGCTTATTGTCATCATTAATGTTTTAAATTGCCTAGTCCTCACATGCAACCTTTACATTCCCTTGCTTCAGTTGTTTTATGTTATTTAGTCCGTTTGCTTTCTAGTCAGGTGCAGGGAATGGTTTGGGTAAGTAAATTTGGGAAAGAAAGACACTGATTAAGAAATGACAACAATGTTAACCTTTTCTAACATATCAATCTAAAAAGGCTCCATACTTTGCATTGAATGGTAATATCAACTGTGTCGCTAGGACTTTTTTTTAGTTTAACCTGATACTAACTCATTTTAGCTTTTATATTCCGAAAGTTTACTCTGTAAAGCAATCTTTTGATTTAAGTTGGCTAATAATTAAGCATACATCTTCCGTGCTGAGGTCCAGTCTGTTGTTTTCGGATTTCAATAGAACACGACTGATTTATCATTAACCCAATGACAAGGATCTGGTGACATACCTGCTGTAGGTTGGTTCTGGAGAGGTCTTGATGCAAATTTAACTAACTGGCAGAGTTTCCTCTTCAAAACCTGCGGAAGTAGCATAATTTGTTTGTCTGATGACTCTGACCATTGGCCATCATTAGATGCCTGCAAGTTCCTCAAAGGCCTGTGGCACAGCTTCTGCTTAACTCATATTTAATCAGACACTTTGTTTTATAGCATGAGAAACTGTTTATTACTTTAAAATTTGGAATTCTTAGGCTTTTGATGTACTGTTGTTTCTTCAGTATGATGAATGCATTTTCGGAAGGGCTGGAATTGACTGAAAGCAGTGGACTAGATCCTCGTACTCTTCTTGATGTGCTGGTAAGATGGCTCATGGACATTATATGTTTGTTGGTTTGGATGGGAACTAAAATTACTTTTCTCTAGGACTTGGGAGCTATGGCTAATCCAATGTTCAAGATGAAAGGACCTTCAATGCTTCAAAGTAAATACCCCCCTGCGTTTCCTTTAAAGCATCAACAGAAAGATATGAGATTGGCTCTTGCCCTTGGAGACGAGAATGCTGTTTCAATGCCAGTAGCAGCTGCTGCAAATGAGGTGAAAATCCATCTGTTATATTGAATTGTCTTACGCTTACACTAGTAATATTAAATTCTCCAAAAATGACCCGATTTCATGTAGTATTGCTCTCAAATTTTGCCTCCGGACAACATTTTTTCAAGCCTAGAAAGGTTGGGCATCAAGGTGCTTCTTGGGGTCCCCAAAAGATCCTTGAGGCCTATTTGGTACCCGGAACCATCTAATTCATTCCTTAGCTCATGACTTTGCACCTTTCGTAATCATATCTTAAATGTCCTACCTCGGTCATGCCTTGGGTCTTGCTCATGCCTTGCCACTTTTGGCAAGCCAACACCTTACCCTCTAGGGCTCTAGGTTATTGATGTCATCTTCTCTTATTTCATGTGAGCGTTAAACTCTGCATTATTTCTGAGATTCTCTGCACCTTTATTCTAAAGTAAAATTCTCAAATAGGATAGACCATTTGTCCTAGTAGTTAAATACGTAGTAAAAACTAAGCATTTTTTGTGTTCATCCTAGATTTAGATTATATTAGTGGAGATGCAAATTCTGTTTGCCATCAGATTAAAAGATTAATGAGATTTGTGTGAATGGTGAACTTAAAGGGCATGTTGCACATAAAGCATCTATAATGACAATTTTTAAAAACCTAGTTTCCTTCTTTTTCATGAAAAGCCCTCATCTGAAATTATTAGCCTTGATCAAACATAATTTCTGTATCTAAACTTACCTATCGCTATCTGATCTAATCTGAACATACATTTGTTATGCTGAGTCTTGCATTGTTTGTATGCAAAAAGATTAAAATGTAATGTTTGTTGACTCTGGTTATCGTTACCTTTTATATTCTATTCAGGCATTCAAAAAGGCTAGAAGCATGGGTCTTGGAGATCAGGATTTTTCAGCTGTGCATGAAGCAATTAAGGGTCCTAAACACCCATAATTACAAAGAGCACAAATCTTATTTCAGACAGGAACTTGATGGAAGATTACAAGTTGTATGTGTGGTCGATTGATTACCACGTACACCTATCTGACAATTTCCTTGGAATTGATGCATAAGATTATTGAGCATTATGTGATGTTCGTGCTAAGATTGTACAAGTACCCGTATTATGGAGGAGAATATAGCGAGGAAGGTCAAGATCTTGTATTCATAATAATAGCACAACATTGAAGTAGTCTTTTGAGAGGCAAATTTCAGTAGTGTCAATTTCATATATATTGTTCATCAGCTGCACGGTAAAAGCTCCTTGAAATACAACCAGGGGTTATTACTGGTGCTGTCTAAGTAGGATCTCTCAATAATGAAATTGTTGGCAACACTTACACCGCAAGCTTAGAGAAACTACCTTCAATAAATTGCAATCTATCAAAAGAATTAGCTTTCGGCTTGAGTACAGGGAAGGTTTTCACAAAACATGTACACACACTCGGAGTACAAGTAATTGAAAAAGCAGAAGCTGTGGCCATGGTTAGAAGTCGAAAAGACATCAACGACGAGTGATGTGTCGATTTACGACATTACCTGAAGGCTGAAGCCATCTAATCTTTAGATTGCAAGGGTTCAAATCAGTGTCTCTCACTAATTCTTTATCTTATGAAAGACAACATATCATACTCACATGATGTTATATGTAGTTGGGTACATAGAAACCCCACAGCATACAAATTGCCCTTTATTCCAGTAGTGCAACTTCCTTGTAGACTCACCCTTTTGCCCTTCAATACCTTTCTAACGTTGGTATCATTTAATAGGGATACTGTGTTGTTGATTTGAACTGATGAGTGATCAATAATAGATTAATAGGCGGTTGGCGTACATATTTTGCTATAGAAACTATACTCTCTGTATAAGCAACAAGAGTGTCATCAGCAGGAACTCCAAGGGATTTCATTTGTTTGGTAGTCAAGTTGAGCAAAGTTATTGTACCATCATAAGGGCTGAACACAATCTCATTGCTGTTCCAAAATACCATATTCCGAGTTGATGGCCATTCGGGTAGGCTGACATTGCGTACTTTGTTCCAAACACCGGTTGGACCATACCCCGAAAGAACCCAAGCCAATTTTGACCAATAGAATACACACAAGGTTGGTTGGAGATTTTGAATAATGTTTAGTAACAAATTCAGGGGATCGAATTAAGTAAATCGAAGCAATGATTTTATGGGCAATCGACTCAGAATCTCAATCAAACAATCTTTTTTCAATTCAATTTCTGCCATGGAAACGTAACAAACAACACAGACTCAGATGAGATGAGATGATAACCTGCAATTTCACAAACCTTGAGTTTCAAATTTTTGTTTTTCCTTTTTCTACGGATTTTTGTGTTGGAATTCAATGAATTTGCATAAAACAGGGCTACGGGAGCACTATGTTCTTTGGAAGCGGAAAACCAGCACGAGGTGATCAAAGGGCGGGACGGGGGCGGGCCAAGGCAAGAAAAATCAGTCCCACTTGCTTTAGCAAGGCCAAGTTTCGATCCGAAAATTGCTTGCCCAAACTTGTAAAATAGGGTGGGTTTGGGCAAGCTAAAAAACAATTTTTTTTAGTTAAAAGCCCTAACCAGCCTAAAAACCCGTTTGGCCTGACAAGCCCGTTATTTTTGGACAGCTTTGGACATGACATTTGATGTTAAAACCCGATCTGATCCAAATTTATGATCACCTCTACTTTAAACTTTTTTTTTTAACATACTCTTTCAAACCTAAGGTATAGCAACAATACAGTGTTATTAATCCTAGCTTTAGGCTGGTTTGGTTCAATATTAATAAAGGATAAGATGAGAAAAGAAAGTGATTTTATTTTCCAATAATGAAAGGAAAGAAAGGGAAAAGAAATGAAATTTATAGTGTACTTCCAACCTTTTTTTTTCTAAATGCTATAATTGAGATTTGGCATTATTCATATGTTACCATTGACTTAATTTTTTTCACAAATATAGAATGTATAAATATGATTATGTACTATGTTGTTGGATTTGTCACAATGTCTACTTTTATAATTTTTTTTCTTGAATTATTTTAAATATTATCTAATTAAAAATATTGATGGTCAAAGTTGTACCTCGGCAAATGTTTAAACCCGTGTGTAGTATTTAAAATAAAAATAAAAATAGAAGAAGTATGAATTTTATTTATCTCTTTCTAATCGAATTCCACCAATTTCGAGAGGAAACAAAAGCTAAAAATTTGTAAAGGGACTTTCTCCCGCTTCCTTTTCTTTCCTTTCCTTTGAATTCTCATGTCATTTATTTAACTAAACATGAGAACATGATTAAAACTGTATCTGTTAGAGATATGATATTATCAATATCGGAAAATATATGTGATATTATTGATCTTATTAGGAGAATAATATATTTAGGTATGTTAGAGATATGATATTATCAATATTGGAAAATATATGTGATACATTTTCCGTACTGATTTTATTAGGAGAATAATATATTTAGGTTTATTTATGCTAAAGATATTATTTAGTGAATATATATTAGGATATATGGTTATGGTAGATATCTTTCAGAAGATTATTTCCTATCTTATGATCTTAGGTTTTGTATAAAAACACTACCTATTGATGAATAATAAATCAAGAAAAGCCATTCATTTCTCTCTTTCCCCTTAATTTGTCAATATCTTTTACTTTATTTTTCATTCAATTCCCTTGAACTAAAGTCTTAACCTTGCTACAAGAAGAGTCAACAACTTGATTTTATCTATTCATATGAGAATTTCCATGTATTCAAACGCAATTAACATTTATAGACTTATTTAACATTACCATTTATACACTTTCAAACCAGAATAAAATCCTTAAAGTCACTCGAATACATAAAACTTTTAAATGGGAAGAATATAAAAACCAACTTTTTGATCACAACTGGAATTAACTGTATAGAAAGTTCTACAGTTTTTTATCTCAATTGGAATAAACTACAATTGTATCTGTAGTAGCATTTAAACAATAAAAAATCTCGATGAGTAAATTATCATTTCCCAACTTTTTGCAAGATGGGTATGGATTTGGAAAAATTCTGTGCATAATAGTTTAATATGTCACCGTTTGTGTATTTCTTTTTTTTAACACAAAAGGGAAAAGCATATATATTACATAAATATGGCAGCAACCATATTAGCAAAATACAAGATCATAATGTTTAAGATGATCCAGCACCATAGATGCTCCAAGTAGCAAACCGAAATAAAGACTAAAGCAAAATAAAAAGCTAAACGCCAATACACAAAAGCTTGTAAATACAAGACTGAAAGATCAAAATAGAAAGGGAGCGCAATAGCAGGAGCAAGAACAGCGTTAGGTTGCCACCATCTCAGGGATATCAGAGGCATACACTTGAAAGAGTTCAGCTGGGGGTAGAGATACATAACTGGTTGTCCTGGGTTGACAATTTTTCTTCCCATGGAAGCTAATTTGTCAGCAACACGATTAACATTTCTGCTTGCATGAAAGATAGAAACCTTCCAGGTTCTACTTATGAGAGAGGCTACATCACGAATAATATTCCCTAAGTCCTGATCCTTGAAGGAATCTGGGTCAGCATCCTTTTTATAGTGTTATAGGGAAGGAAGTCTATAATCAATAATGTATGCAGATATGTTAGACTAATTTAAAAAAATGTGTGTTGTTATTGTACGGGAGTTTAAAAAATTAGCATGTAATACTTCGCAAAATCAAGTGAGAATTCACAGTATGATAAATACTGAACGTTTATTAAAAGTAATGAAACTTGTCAAACCAAAAACAGTTACCATATTTTCGCCACTCAAAATTCCAAAACCTAACGACTGACTCTTTATTTGATAGTTGGCCACCTATCCTCCAGTGCTACATCGATTGTTATCAATTGAGAATCAAGTCACATTTTTTAAGCAACGTATTGGCGAATCTAACATTATTTATTAGTGGATTCAACATGAAACAAATTATATAAAAATTATTTAAAATTAACAAATTACGCGAAGAGGAGCAAACAAGCATGAGTTATTTTCATCAGCTACCATAATGAAAATGGAGTAGCAATGGCAAGATAAGTTAAAGGCAATAGAGTCAATAGACTCACTTAAGTTTTGTAGAAAAAAACTTTAAGTGATAAAAAAAAATTATTAATATTTATTAAATTCTGTAATATGTAAAGGACAATGAGCACAATAGCACATATATTTTTATGTGTCAAGTTTATATATATATATATATATATATATATATATATATATATAATTGATGATGAAAGTTTATAAAAATATTTTATTAATAATTTAGTTTTACATTTGATTAAGATTTAGTTTACATTAATTTGAACAATCGTCGAAAATTAAAGCTAGCTCCAGCGCTAAATAGAAAGCTAAAATTTTCCATAAAGTTAAGGAATTCCTAAAGTTAATTTCACAAATTCCTTTAAATATGTGAATCTTTATATACAAACCATTGTGTTTACGCTCTTTCCCCTTTTTTTATAGACTTGATTTTAGCTTAAATTATACATTTGAAAATCAATTAGCGTTAAGAAAATCAATACATTTTTGAGCATTTATATGTAATATCGACCATTACTAATTTCCCATATAAAAAATGATTATTATTATTAATTTTTTTTTTTAAAGAAACTATCACATATGAATTTATATCATTATATTCCCATTGTACATAAACAAACGAATTTATATCATTATATTCTTATTGTAGATAATTTTTTTTTACAAGCTCATCGTAAATAATTAAAGATTAATAATACTTATGTTTACAAAAAAAATAATTAATATTACACTCATTGTAGATTATAGAAGATTAATTTTACACTCATAGTAACATTTATGTTGGCATGTTGCAATAGATGCAGAATTATTTTGAAAATGATTTATTATTATAACTGTTTTCAAAAGGTTTTTTTTTTCCTTAAAATCTTCTTTTTGAAACTTATTTATTAAATTCTATTCCATTATTTCATAAGTCCGTTCCATTATCTTTATCCTCTTCTCAGTATTTTGCTGTCACTAACAATTTTTATAGCATTTTTCAACCCCTAGATATTAGAGACAAGGCCAATTAGATTAGATTGAAAATTCAAAATAAATCTTTTACTACTAATGAATGCAGAAAAATACATAGAAAACACATTGAGATGTATGATACTGCAACAGTTCCTTCACACCAATATATATGTACACCTTATCTTCAGCATTCTTCTAATCTGAGAAGAGGGGAAACAGGGGGTGGATCTACCAGATACATATCTTGAAAAGTTCTGTTTATAAAATCCTCAAAACACATATTCATTAAACAAGAGGTTCCAAAGATTACATCTTGGTGAAAAAAAAAACAAAGCAAAAGGTGAGCCAGTCGCAAATCGAGCCTCCTGAAAGTAAGTTGTACAATGCAAAAGGTACACATTCACTCTTCAAGATAGATACCCAGTAGGCAGTAGGAAATACACCAGTTTCAGCTTACAGAGGGCATAATCGACCCAAAAAATAAAAGAGCAAAAGAAGAAAAACCTCAACCCCTCTTAGTTACATAGCAATGCAACCATCAAATACAACAGGCCGTTCCTGAATAAAAGACCGGATTCAGCACTGTTAGTACGCAGAATCCCGAGAGCTAAAAGACCTGAGCTTACTCTAATCAACTGTACAGTCAAACTGAAAATACTAGCAAAAGGAGCTAATCAAAATCTGCTGATCAAGCATGGCCACTAACTTCAAAGGAGCTCTTACCCTCCGTTCCTTTTTTTACTAGTGAAATCCGTTACCATTGCTATAGATGCTATTGAGGGTAACATTTATATGCTCAATATGTACTCCATTCGACAACCCATTGTCATGATCCTTGCAATTGCCATTAAGGGAACCATGACTATATTCCGGATAATTACCGTTAATTGAACCATTAGCATGTGGCAGATCAACAACGTTTGCTAACCCATTTGCATGTTCTAGATAAATGCCATTTACAGACCCATTACCATGCTTTTTATGAATACCATTCATCGATCCATTAGCATATCCAGGATGAATGTCATTCAATGCACCATTACCTAAGACAGGCTCCTTATGTGTGCTTTTGTGTACTCCACTTACAAAGACAGGCTGCTTGCTAATAACATTCACTTGGTCCTTCTTGGACTTACAAGGCTGAGATCTCGTTGACAGGTGATCATTGCACTTTGGACTATCCCTTTGCAACATATTATGTACAATGTTAGGGTTGTCCAAAAAAGCACCCAACTGTCCAGTTGCTGCTGCTATTAAACCTATAAGCAATTAGGTAAAAAAAATGAGATCAACTGCACTTACTAAAATATTAGTTGACAAACCAACATGCATGAGATAACAACCAATAGCGATCAGCAAATACAGGGAGTGATACACCCATTTCCGAAAGGGGAAATTTGCCTATCTCCACTAACAAAGGAATGCTAATAATCAAGTGGAAAGGGGGAGGGGTTAATGGCCATAAAATTGTGTGTGTTGATCAGTTTAGTGGCTTGATGGTTTAATAAGGAATATTTTCCCTATTTAGGGTTTCATCACTCAAACATTAGACAATTAATTTGGCCATACAAAAAACTTTAAGAATAGCCTCAAAAAACCAACTGTTTCCACAAGAGAATGCAGAAAATAGCAGAATACACACCTACAAACAGAGGAGAAGGATTTCCTGGTCTTGATTTAAACTCAGGATGAAATTGAGCTCCAACAAAAAAGGGATGATCGGGTAGCTCAATAATCTGTTAACCACAAAGAATGTCAAAAACAATATAAGGACAAAAGATTTATCAGACAGCTCCTACATTGAATATTTTTGAAGCTGAAAACTAACCTCCATTCGCTGGCCGCTTTCATCCTTCCCGGTGAAAGACATGCCAAAACTCTCAAGCTGAGCAATCATATCAGGGTTCACCTATAACATAAATTATAAACATATCTAAATTAGTTTAAAATGTAAGCATCTACAATCGGGTATGAAGTAGCACAGCAATTAATTTTCCACAACAAACAGGTGTAATCATTGCTTGTCAATTACTCACCTCATATCTATGGCGATGTCTCTCATCAACAAAGTCTGCATTGCCATATCTAAAAGAAGAAGAAAAATATACATAAGCATTGTACAAGGCATTCATTGACTGTCCAACAAAAGAGGCAGCTGCTATCTATATTCTTACAGCTTTGCACTCTTGCAGTCCTTGACCTGGAAGTATGTCCTCCTTGAACCGAGCCGCATAGTGGCACCCATATGAGTTTTTGATCCCTGTTATTTAATATCATTAGTCATATCCTCAACTTGAAGAGATAAGATGAAAATATACAATAGCACCTGAACATGACAATTATAACTATAATACACACCTCTGGCATGAATACAACAAAAGGATTCGGGGTTTTTTTGGTTTCTGAATCGAACTCTTCGCTGTTTGCATCTTGTACACCAAGAACAGACCGAGCGAACTCAACAACAGCAAGCTGCATTCCCAGACAAATGCCAAGATAAGGAACATTATTTTCTCTGGCATACTTTGCGGCAAGAATTTTCCCTTCAACACCTCTATCACCAAATCCTCCAGGAACTAGAACACCATCTGCACCCTGAAATGCCAAAGTAACCAGGGATTTTTAAACACACAGAACTTGATGCAAAAAGAGAAAATAAGGTGAGACATAGACAAGCTTTGGTACTTGACTATAAAAAGTACACAAGATCTTTAGAGATGCAAAAGAATTCAGCCTTTTGTTATGGCTTGCAAGAATTTTGTTATAACGAACACAGACAAGAATCATGGCAATATCGTTTACAATTAAAAATAATAAAAATAAAAAAATCCCAAGTACAGTTAACCACAAATAAGGATAAGGACACTAACCTTCAGCATATTCCATGCAACTTTGTAGCTTTCAGGATTCTGCAATGTTGAAATTTTACATCAATACAATTAAATGAACATAAACAAGGAGGTTCAGGGGACAAAACAAAAAGATTAAAGCAATCATCATTACCTCCTCCTTGGTTGATTCTTCCAGGTCACTAGCAGGAACCCAATCAATAAGTAATTTATGATGACATGCAACTGAGGCATGCAAGAGAGCCTGTTTATAGCAAAATTCAATACGGTCAATATCCTAATGCGATCCAGACTATCTAGACCCCACATATGATGTGGCTGCAGGATTTGTGACAAGCAAAAAAAAGTATCAAGATAAACTTTGTTGAACTACCCTTCTTAGTTCTCATTTCTACATAGAACATATGTGAGTCAACCGCTACATGGGGGAAGATTTTTTTTAACTGTATGCTGTATAATACATCAGCATAATCAAAAGACAAGTGTTCCCAAAATGCATATAATAAAACTGGGGATCTTTACGAAACTTTACAAGACGGTACACAAAGACAATTATGCTTCATTGCATATGTCCATAATTTGCTTAGTTAAAGTCAAAACATGGATACTCTCGTTGCAGGGAAAATAAACAGCATTTAAGTGGCGGTCAATAAAGGCAATTAATTTCAATGTATGGCATGCGCCTCCAGTTCATTAGCCCGGTTCTTATAGCCCTACAACATATTGATTATTCCTTAATTAAAAAAAATGCAGCTCTAACCCTATAATTAGGAGTAGCTAAGCTTACATCCAGGAGACTCCATTGCGGCTCTAAAGTGGCAGTAAATCCAAAAATGCAGAATCTATACAATCTTTAAATTCATCAACAGCATGCATGTAAAAGAGGCAAAATTACTCTGCCCCGCCCCCCCACCCCCCCACAAAAAAAAAAAAAAAAAAAAAAGATATTCAAGAAATAAAGATGTAGGTTCCTCAATTACCTTTAGCACAGAGAGATAAGAATCTGAAAGTCCAGTGTACTTTCCAACCATAGCTATCCTCACCTAATGGATTGAGAAAAAAATCAAAAATAATTTGCGGCTAAATATGCCTTGTTAATACAAGACAAATAGCTGAGAAAAAAATAAATTAAAAAGTCAATCAGAACTTACAGGCTGCTGCAACATACTACAAAGTTGAGCTCTCCGAGTCCATTCGTCTAGTACAGGCTCCTTTGCAACACTGCATAAAGGCAAGCAAAAGTCAGATAGAATACAGGAAAATCAACCAAGAATTAGGCAAATGAGATACAAGGGTATACCCGTTAAGGTTGAGCACTTTTAATATAGCTTCATGAGCCTTTTGATCCTGATGGAAATAAAAAGAAACCCATAAGCTCAACATGAGCAATACCACAAGAAAAATTCTATTCAATAGCAAACCAAAAAAAAACTTACTCTAAGAAGCAAAGGAATGTGCCAGATGTTGGGGACATCATACAGAGTTACTATATTTTCACCCTGAAAAGGACAAATTCAGGTAAGGTTCTAATTCATATATATCAATCACATAAGAGCGAACAAATGCGATCAAATCATAAAAGGGATTCGCTGTTAGAAGTACCGGAACATGGCAAAATTGTGAGAGTTTCGCCTTCACATTTTCATCAAGAGGCTGCACGGTAAAATTAAATGTTTAAGCCAAACATCACCACGGAGAAAGTGTATACGAGCATGACTGACATAGAGAAAGATATACCATTGTGCTACGACAAGCCAAAATATCTGCTGTTAACCCCAGGCCTCGCAGTCCCCGAACACTGTGCTGTGTTGGCTTTGTTTTCTGTCAGAAGTAAATACAGAATTTACATCAATTAATTTGAGCATGGACATGGCTAAAAACCAAACCTCAAAAAGGCAGTTCATAAAAACAAAAACATAAATATTTAACATAAGGTATTTGATTGAACTACCTGTTCCCCAACAACATTCAGAACGGGTACCAAACTGACATGAATTAAGCAAAAGTTTCCAGAACCTGTTGAGAAGAAGTATTGAGTAAACTTTTCCAACAAAGAAAGAGCAGTTTCAAGCATGCAACACTTCTGAGAAGACCTACCAACGCGATATGAGAATTGTCCAAGAGCTTCAATAAACGGCATAGACTCGATGTCCCCTACACCATGAAAACACAATTTTCAGACCAATTGTACACCCAATGTTGAAATTCATGACAAAACACCCTAGGGTATATTAGATGGCACACCTATAGTTCCACCCAATTCGATGACACAAACATCAGGAGGGCCTTCCTGGCCATCTACCGGTGTATGCGCAACACGTTCTATCCACGACTGAATTTCATCGGTAATGTGCGGGACAACCTAACAATCACAAAGAATATAATTAAAATGACAGTGAAGGGTCAACAGTAGCAGTGAAAAATCATGGATTAGAAAAGAAAAAGACCTGAACAGTTTTCCCCAAATAATCTCCCTTTCTCTCCTTGTTAATGACAGACTGTCACATATAGCAAAAACAAAAATCAATATCAATTGAAAAACATAGTCAAGTGGGTTACTCCATCCTTCAGAAGGAAGGGTTGAGGGACAAGTTAGGTAACAGATAAGGCAGTGTCGGTAATTAAGCTTGCCTGGTATATCTTCCCAGTTGTTATATTATTATCGCGTGTCAGCTTGATGTCTAAGAATCTCTCATAATTACCAAGATCTAGGTCCACCTGCGAAACAATTGAACAAACAACATCAACTTCGGTTCGTTCAGTACTATGAAGTATGAACGTTGATAGATCGTTAACCATTAGAAAGTCATGATCACTTGATCACATGTTAAGTAGAGAATCAATATCACTCAGCTCAAACTCGAAATCATAGTATAAATAAAGCTCATGAAGGGAACAACAACTTTCTCTACTTCGGCCCCACGCTGATATTGGCAAGAACAAAGGGAAATCATTTTGCTGCTTAAAGAAGAAAAGCAAGCACATTTGATTTCACAATCTAAAGCTTCTACTTCGTATTTCCTTCTCCCTTTTTGACTTCTAGGTATTTAGAGATATAATTCCTTATGATATCCTAGGTTCCTTTTTTTCTTTTAATGAAAAACAGCATAATCCAAAAGCCAAAAGCTGATTTTTTCTTTTCTTTTGCCTCGCATCGAGTCGATGTTCTGATGAACAACACACCGGGTTTACCCGTGGTTCAAACCCACAACTACTCACCCGAGGTCAGTCGGAGTCTGCATGTTCCATTCAAGCTAAAAGGGAATACATTTCATGAAAGCTTTTGAGGAAAAATAACTATAGAAATCAACATCATTTTCTAAGATACCTATCCTTTCCAACAACCTACACTGCCGCCAAGACCAAACAAAAACTAAATCAAATTGCTAACAGTGAAAATGAAATTAAGTCAAATCAATAATGACTTCACTAAAGTTTTTTATATTCAAATCTTAAGAAATTGATTTCTAAACAAATTTGAATTACATAAACCTAAAATATGCAATTTAATAAATTAATAAAATATGATTAGATAAAGATTTTTGTTACCTCGCCTCCATCATCCAAAACAAACACTTCACCATGCTCAAAGGGTGACATAGTTCCTGCGTCTGTATTCAGATAAGGATCTGCAACAACAAAATAAATCAATTAAACATACAAAAATACAAGAAAAAATCAAAAGGGTTAAAAAAAAACAATCTCAGGGTTTAATTCCATTATTCAACCCAATCAGACAATAAAAACAATCTCATACATTAAACTCATTTCTGGGTAAAATGGTGCAATGTACATCAAAAACAAAAAAAAATTATAAATTAAAATCTGGGAAACAAAAATCAACTAATTTAACATCCCCATAAACCCTTGAATTTCAACCTAATCCCCATCAATCCAAAACCCACGTCGTAAAAAATCTCAAAAAATGAACAAAACCCAGAAAAATTAAAATGCAAATATAGCTAAATACCTATTTTAATAGAAGTAACACGAAGACCACAAGCTTTAAGGAGCACCCCAATACTACTAGCAGTAACCCCTTTCCCCAGTCCACTAACAACACCTCCTGTCACAAGAACATACTTCATCTTCTCCAAATTTTACTGCAAATTTCTTAAAATTTCTGGGTTTTTTTTTCACAAATTTTCTGGGTGTTATCAGAAATTAAACTTCCCCTGTTTTCAGCCGTTTTTTTTGTATAAGTTAATTAAAAATGGTGGAAAATGCACGTAATTTGTGAATTAGTAGTAATTGATAACAGAGACAGTTGATGTTGCAAAGAGTATGAAGGGATTTGGTGAGTTCTAGAGAGAGAAAGTAGAGATAGAAATAGAGGCAGAATGGAAGATTAGCATTGTTGAGACTTGTGACGGCCCCTCTCCATCTTATATAACAACTACCTACATGTTTGAGGTTTTTTTTTTTTTTTATTTATTTTTTTTTTCTTCGCTTTTTAAAAAAAAAAAATCAAGAAATCTTTAGCAAAAACCCTAGTCAATTTTATTTTATTTTTTTTAATTTGGGAATTGTTAAATAGGCGCTCCTTTACTTCCCGCCTCCTCCCATGCTTCCTCTCCTATACTAAGACTTTATTATTGTTGTGTTGTTACTATAGGTCTATAGTTGTAATAGTACTTCACTACTCCGTAGTTGTAACTCTTAAAAGCCACAAGTGAGATCATACTGAGTATGTCTTAATTTGTGTGTCTCTTAACTTGTTAAACTTGAACACTCAGTTTTCTCTACTTATTCAAATAATATTTACTAAAAATAAGTTAAATCGTAGCTTTGATGAAGGAAACATTTATTTGATTCTACTATGTATCTGTCAATTTAAATTTTATTTATAGATGGCCTTTTTATTGATGAATTGATTTTGTTAAAAGAAAACTTTAATTAGCAAATTAATATCGATAATTTTAAACAACATACGAAGTAATAGAGAATCCAAATATAAGTTTAAATCTTTCAATAAGAAAATAAGTTTTATTCGGTAATACAACAAGTATAATTCAGTAAATTTCAATTCAGCACAAATAAAATAAAGAAAAAATAATCTTACACTTTTTTCATGTATATTTGGCACATTTTCAATTCGATTTTAGGGCAATTTTAACGATAACATTTTACTTTGTGTTATAAACTTGTAGCTATGTGGATTAAATTGTTAAATAGTATAATAAAAACATATTACAATTGTCTATCAACATGCTTTTCAAATTAATTAATTGCATCTTGCAATAGGAAAGGATTATAGTTGAATAAACATTGGCAATAAATACAGGTGATCTAGTTTATTTGTTTTAAGTTTTTAAGGTGGTATTTAAAACATGAAATTAAATTTTAAATGTGTTTACACTAAAGGCAAAGATGGCATTAAGCTAGGCTTGAGCCACATATATTTGGCACAACATGAAAAGGCACACTAATTTAAAGTTCACTGGCTTAGGCATGCAAGCATAGCACAACCGGAGTACGTAGGGCGGTTGTAGGCTATGGCCTATGGGTATGAGAATGTTGGCACAACAAAGAACAAAGCTCGTGGGACTGGCCAAAGATTAGACCTAGCTAACCCCAAAGCACGTGTGCTAGACACGAGACACTACCCCATAATCATCTTTAATTTGATTGAAGGTGGACCTTTGTTCACTATACCGGGGCAATTAACACTGGCCCTGAGTAAGTTTTTTTTTTTATTAACTAGTTGTTAAACCTAAACAACTTTAGGTTATTATTAATATGCTACGGCTTAGTAGATAATTTTGAGCAAAATGTTAGATGTTTAAATTGTAGATCGTTCAATATTTTTAAGTCAAAATTCGCCATTGATCTCCATCATTTGCTCTTGCTCTCCATATATATGACAATTTAAAAAAAAAAAAAAAAAAAAAAGTAGCATTTAAAAAGTTTATATAATTTTAAGTCAAATAATCGGAGATCGTGTTTTTGGAATTGGAGATGGCCTTAGTCATCTAATAATGCGAGTATTATTACCAAAAGTTGATGATGGGGCCAAATTAGAGATAATTAGAATAAAAGTAGACAAATAATAAGACACATGATCAGTTCGCACTACAAGGAATTTTATTAAAGGGGAACTTATGTCGACCAAAAATAGTCACTACTAGTCTTCCTAATCTTCCTAACAAAGTATTGGCAAAACATCATATCGCCCATCACTTTCAAGTTTCCAACCATATACTATCCTTTGAAAAATAGATATCTATATTAATAATTATATGTTCAAATAAAAATTGCCTAGCTTTGCAAATGGGTTTCAATCTAGAGCTAACCGACGTAGTTGCTTCATTAAAAGCCTAGTTTCGAGGATGATTAACAAATTGGGTTCTGAATTCTGATAATTGAAAATTGCATGGGCTTCAAGGTTACCCAATGAGAAGAATGAGAGTTTAAACGACGTACAAACTGTGAGAAGGTTTAATCTAGCCCTGGATGACAATAGAAAGGGTAAATCCACAAACTTATAAAATGATCATTGTCTTTCATCTACATCATTGTAAGACAACTCACATTTAAAGAAAAAAAAAACAAAAAAAAACTAGTATAATCACGAACAGACAACAGATGAGCTCAACAGTATAATACGTAATAATATTTTAAATACAACTTATACTTTTTCGTCAATATTACGTAAACAGATAAGAGTTTTATTAAGCTTAGCTTTACAATTAAAATACTCTCTATTGGTACCACACTACCACCATAGCAACTCCAATGACGGGCTATAAGATATGTTGTTTGGCTTGCCACTTCAGATTGTCAAACTATATACATCTCAAGCTACAAGCCCTCTTGATTAGTTAGCAATGACTTTTTGTAGCTTGCATGCAGCCCATACTTGTATTATTCAACATAATTTAATTTTGGAAGTTTTTTTTTTCCAAACTTGTAGCTTCCTTGAGCAACCGTTCCTTGCAAGCACAACAATAATTTAGTTTTGCAAAGGTCAAGGCACAACTATGTAATTATCTTATACTAGCTTTGACAATGTGCGAAATTACAAATTTGCCCTTATGTCTCTGAATGAACAAAGCTTGCATCCTTCTCCTCCTTCATGTCGTGTACATATTACGTAATTGTCAATAATTTCTCCAATCTTCACCTCACCTTCTCATGAAATTCATCGAAAAACAAAGTTTAAACTGAACAAATAAACTGTTTATCTGGCCAAGAGCAACACTGTGTCAATACAAATTAAATACTCCGTACTTTGTAGTAGCAGTAGTCGAATATAAGATTATATAAGCTACTACAGGTGGATTTTAGTGCAAACTACTGGCATATATATTATATACTGCCATATTTTTGTAAAATAATGAGGCTATATTAAGATCATGTCTTGTGTAAGTTGTACGATTTGGAAAGAAGCCGAAAATTTAGCAATGGATCGTTGATTAAATTAAGTGCAGAGCTTTAAGTACGTGATTAATTACTGTCTAATATATCACTATTAATTGCTTAATACATGATTAATCTACTATTCTAAATAATTCAGGCCACTAATGTAGATGACTGTTTTCGGCCTAAACTATTAATGTACGATAGTTTGATGGGATTGTTACGCAAATCAATCCTAGCATGATTTGTGGACCTTGATAGAAGTTAATTGTCAAAGATGAGCATTGATGATTACGAAGTATAAAACTTCAGTTATTATAGTTATTAAACAATGGATGAATTGATTTTCATAGTATATATTGATGAAATTATTAAATTTATAACAACTTTTTATGTGCTTGTGTAAAGATCGAGGTTGCTAACTCTAATAGGAATCAATAAATCATATTTCAATCCTTTTGTGTTAATATAAATACCTCATTCATTTGTATTTGTCGTTCATTCAAATATATGCATCTACAATACTTTTTATCTAACAACAACATTAAATTTTCTACACTTGTATTGTGTTTGTGAATTGATAAGGGGTTCTTACTATTATTGTCGTTCTATGTAATCGATTTACTCTGATTTAAATTACATTTGCAATGAAAATGGTTGTTTTGAGAAATTAAAGTAACCTTACGTTACTATGATATGAAGTAATTGTGAATTAAGTATTGATTGAGCTATACGACACAATCTACAAGAACAAAGTAATCATAATTAAGTATAATTATGGTCTAAGAAACGTATGAGTAGAGACACATTTGATTGTTATCCAGTATTGTTAAATGTTGACTCATAATGAGATCCATTTTACCATTACTATTTCATGGATAGTACTTGTATGTTGTATCCAATATCCAGTAATAGCAGTAGTAGAATCCTGTATGTATGAATAAAGCTAAGCTAGGTTGCTACAATAGTTTGATTAGTAGGCCCACACCAAATTGACCCGACCATGAACTCGCATTGTCTATTGATATTTGATTTATCTTCACATTACATGTTTTGGGGGTGGTGCCACATGGGACTGCACATGCCCATTCTACTTACCTCATCTAGCCTACATAATTCAATGGCTATCACATTTTCATTTTATTCTAAGGTAGAAATCGTTTCGTTTGATACAAGTATGAGTATGTTGTCCGATCATTTGGTAAACGATGAAATGAAAAAACTAACTTTATTTATGTCATACAATCATAATAATTGATACTTTCAAATTTGGCACGAATAAGTTATGTTTAGTACGTTACTAATAATAAACTAAGGTCAAAGTTAATATATAAAAGTGAAAAAGTCCAACGTACTCGTATCAATTATTTTGAAACAGAAAGAATGTGATCATTTTTTTAAGACCAGAGTTGATTATTGCAAACTACGTATTCCATACAATATTTAAATTCATGCGTAGATTTTTTTTTTTTTCCTTTCTAACAGGTCTCAAAACTGATGGTGCATGTATATATGGGTTGTTTAACGTGCATGTTCACAAGAATCATATCGGCCATAGCCCATAGGCGTAAAACTTGTGCAACGAAGACTTATTTTCCTTCCCATCATCCCACAAATTGAGCTAATAATTTCATGAAAGTCACAATTTCACGTGCATGGTTGATTGACGGAATTAATGAGTACTAATAGACAAACTTCATGTCATGCATAAAAAATCAGGTGAATTTGGTGATTTTAATTTGATGGTCGAGCTTTATGCCCTAGATTAGATTCTCCAAATAAACTAATTTTCTTGCCTAACTTCGGTATAATTATTATACGAATTAGTAATTCTTTGATTATTCGTGAATTCTCTTGTTTTTTTCTTCCTTCCCGACTGCATTTGGCTAGCTAGTTGACATTTGGGATACGATTTGCCACGTTTAATTTGGTGCTTTACTTCGTTTTATTCGAGGTATCACCACATTTCATTTTTTTTCATGTACTATGTTGATTTATTTGGCGACCTAGTTGACATTAGCGAATTCGGATTGCCACGTTTGGTGCCTCGCCTAGTTCGAGGTACCAATATTTTTTCAG